TAAAGCGATAAAAGACAGAACAAGGTGTTGAGCCACCAAAGGACGACGGGAGTAGACAGGCTGCACAGTAGAGGAGAAGATATAGGATATAAGAACAGAAGTGGAGATGGGAGGAGAGGAGAGGAGAGGAGGGGAGGGAGGAGAGAGTTTAAACCCAAGGACAAGAAGAAGAGATGTAATAAAATAGAGGAGTGTTGCATGAGAGCAGCAGAGGAGATAAAAAAGAGCGTAGAGGTGGAACGAAAGAAAAGAGTGGATTTGGGTTAAGTGCTATCTCGGTGAGCAGAGTAGTTCTTGTAGAGACAAGTCTCCAACCACATCAAAAGACACGTGCTGCTGTGCTGAATAGGCACCACAAAAACACACTCACACACACACACACACNCACTGTAAAAATTACAACATTTTTTTCCCCTTTTTTTTCTCTAAGTCCTTTCCCCCAAACCGCACGTGCACACACACACGTACACACACACACACGCACACACACACACACACACACACACACACACACACACACACACACACACACACACACACACAGACACACACCTCCCTCGTCTCCCTCGTGTACAGTATGGCAGCTATCTTGTAGTGACAGTAGTTGTCATACATAAATCCTGAGTATTAGTGAAGCTATACTCAGAGTGGAGTCAGTATTGGGGTAATCTGGAGAGAGGAGGGGGACAAGGAATTAAAATGAAGGGTGAGGAGAGCAGACAAAGAGAAGGATAGTAAAAGGAGGAGAAATGGATGGAAAGATAGATGACCCAAGCCAGAATAAAGCAGGTTAAAGAGAGGAGGATGGGGGGATAGAGAGAGAAGGAACGAGGCAAAAAAAGACAGAAAGCTCAGAGAAGTCAAGTGACATGAAGCAGAATGGATGACAAAATAGGTGAATTTGACAGATTGTTGAGCCAAGAAAGAGGAAGAAAGAAGAAAAAGTGAGAAGAGAGGAGGAAGAGGAGCGGAATTGTGAGCCAGATCAGGATATGGAGAGATAAAGAAGAAGAAGAGACTGAAACAGAGATGAGGAGGGGAGGGGATGGAGAGACGAGATGAAGTGAAGCAGAGGACTGGACAGTGAACATCATCACTGAGGAGTTCCAATTCGCTTTCACCGCTGCTAATCCCCGGAAGAGGCATCCCCTCTTAAACCAAGGCGTCAAACTGTGCTCGTACCCCTCTAACCCAGTTAATTCCTGTTCACACTAAAGGACTTTCCTGCTTCACACCCCACAGAGAGAGTCAGGAGTTAGACTCTTTGAATTAAGGGTCCGGCTGCATGAGGAGAGGATGTTTTAAATATCATTATAGAAGGGATTTCTATAATTTCTCGTGGTGGATTGTGACTCGGACTATTTACTGCATGGAGATAGAATTTGTTGCTATAACAGTTGTCGCAAAAGTTCTGCCAAATGGCTGGAGCTTCATTCACTGCCTGGCAGGGAGCTTGTGCAAGGAGCTCGCTGACTCCGGTGGTGTAACTCTTTCAGATAGATGGCTCCGGGTGGTGCGTGATATAGTGTTGCGTTTACATACGTGGATGTATACTCTGTATGTTTAGGGCAAAGTTTAAGCCATCTCCTCATGGTCTCTACAGTATTTCCATAGAGTGATTTACGTCAAATGTGTTTCACAAAAGCATCTTGGCACTATGATTCAGTGTGTGTGTGTGTGTGAAATGTTGAGCTCTTGGATGATATTTATGGCTGTATGGTGGTAAACAAGAACAGACGTGGTGGTTAGTGAAATGTAATTTATATCTAAGACCCTCGTGTTCCATGAGCCTTCACAGTTATTGGAGCTATTATGTCCATATTCATTAATCATCTGCGGTGTCTCTGGAAATGCCTCCAGCTCACAGACCTTGATGTGTATTTATAGCATGAAAGAGAGTCATAGTTGGCCATTCATTTTTACATCATTTTTTAAAATTATGAATCAGTCGGTGTGAGTGTGTGTGTGTGTGTGTGT